TTTTTTTTTTTTTTTTTTTTTAAGAATTATATTGTTACCTTTCCATATTGGTTTTACTAATTTGTATAGGAATCTCCCTGCATGGAGATAAAACTGAGTTTTATTACATTTTAAGTATAGTTACTCTTTTTCACATATGGAATAAAAACCCTCTTATATGATTGGAAATTTATGTTGCTTTTGTGCTATTTATCTAAGGGTGTTCACCGAACCCATAAAACCCGAATAATCGAGTTTACCATTTCTTAAAACCAAACAGAAATAATTTATAATTTATAATTTAAATAAATATATTTACTTTTTTAAACAAATCACAAAAACACAAAACACATTTTGAAATAAAATACCTCGATGAATTGTGTGTGCGATTGAAATCTACATACAAAATATATAACCAATGTGTCGAGACGGTACATATTTGATCGTGAATCTATCGAATATATGTTGAGTAATAATATTGTTTGGAGATTGAATGCTGAGGAGAGGATGAATGAGGTGTTTGGAAGTAATGTTAGAAGAAGCAGCAGATGGAGAACAATTTGGAATGGTAAATTATATTTTTAGGTTGTGATTCATTGCTTTCTGTTTTGTAGGATTGTTATATGAATTGAATAAGTATATGGGGTTTGAAAATAAATAAAAATAATCTTTTTATAATTAATTAAGATATTATTAAATTTTAAACACAATAAGGGTATACTACGTTTTTAACAAGTACAAAGGATACGAGGCAAAGTACAAGGCTACCAACATTCTTTTTTGTCTTGTACCCTTCAATCTATCGTTGATTTTGATTTTTTAGTCAATCTAATGGTGACCCTGACCATAGAAGCTCCCCTTGCAATTTACATGTTGCAAAAAGTTTCCACCAGAATAAATTATTTAAAGCAACAAAGTCCATTATCTATGTTGTTTTCTCCATTGAGATATGAAAAAAGAGAATAAAAGAAAAGAAAAAAAAAAACATTTATAAAACAAAGGCTCTCATAGAAGATTATGGGGCAAGGCAACACTCTTATCCTAATACAAAGCTTGAAGCTATTTTCCACACTGGGATTTTTTACAAGGCAAACCAAATATCAAGGATCAAAGATGAAATTTGTGTTCTATACTAAAGAACCGGACGAGCGCTTTCACTGCAAATACCTAAAACTCGCAAATGAGCAACCGAGACGCTTGCTATGGAAATCATTTTAATAGAAAGTTTCCTGCACGAGACAAGGCAAATAAAAACATGGTTATAGCACAAGAGCTGCATTTAATACCGACAATATTACTACCGAAATCACATAAATGACTATCACCCAACTGATGCCTATATTTACATTCAACAGAAAAATGAAAGGTAAAGAAAAGAAATGGATGACCTTTATGAAATATGTACATTAGAAAGTTTACATAGACTGTCATTCGTATGCTTCGTTGATACCTTTTATCATCTTTGAGCCAAGAGTCAAAAACGTCTAAATAGCCTGAAATCTTCGCTTCAAGAAGCCCATAAAGATGCTTTGTCAGAAGAACTATAATTTAAAAATACACAGAGAGAGAAAGAGAGAGAGAGAGAGAGAGAGAGAGAGAGAGAGAGAGAGAAAAAAGTTGTAATCTAAATTTTATGACAGACCTCATCAGAAGAATGTAATTGCTATATACATGCCGGCAGTCTAAAACAGGAAAAATGAACCTATAGTGGTTTGGCCAAGCACCTTTGAACTCCTATCAAGACCATGACAAGCCACCTAAAACAGAATCACATGTTACAAGAAGACACAACCAAAGACAATTAAAAACACAACTCAGAAATATTATTTCTTTTTTTTTTTTTTAAGAAGCTAAATAAGCAAAATATGATGTATAAAATGAAAGAGGAGGCCACTGCGAAAAGAGAGAGTAATCCCTCTTTAATATGAGATATAAGCATAGATAGCCAGTATACCATATGATTTAAAGCTGCATATCGTTCTTCATTCAGAAATAATGGTTTTCCCCTATGCATCTCAACATCCTGCATCGCGTAAACATACTGAAAATTAAAAATATCCAATGACCCTTGATAGCAGGAGCAAATGAGACAAATACATCTGTATCATGAAAGAAAAGCTCTTCTCCAGCATTTCGCCAGCTCAATTGAATAGGGAACACGAAGATTTATGAGTAAACTGCTGCATAAAATGTTTAGAGGAATCTTCCAAGATTTCAATAAATTATGAACTGGTGAATCTCTTAGCATCATTTACCTCTTCACCAAATGCATCCAAATACAGTGACGGCCATTGTGCTTGACGTGCAGATCTCTGAAGCAAGATTGTCGTTCTCTGAACAAAATAACGCAACATCAATTACTAACCTGATGGGATAGAAGGTCCACATGTAGAGAGGAAGAACTATAGGCAGCGGTTGGATAAAAAATTTAACTTCGACAATTTTGGTTTTGATTAATAATGATATTTTCCTCTTCTAAGAACGAGAATATATATGAGATGAAATCTAATTTCAGAGTCGTTTTGATTTGAAAATAGTAAATGAGTGAATAAGATGGGTATTAGAACCAAAGGAAAATTGTGTAATAGTGACTAGTTAATTCATGATTAAATTTGAAAAGGAGTTGAAATGATATGTTGGGAAAAGTTGTAGCAAGATTTTTAAAATTTCCAGAAAGAATATCTAGAAGTATATGTACTGGAAACAAATATCTGAAAACCAAAATGTTCCCTATTGCAGCCATCCACGTGAACATATTACAGAAATAAACATAAACTAAAAATTAAAAAATACATACCCTGACTAATAAAAATACCCCAATGCCAGCACCGCACGCCATCGCGTGAGTTTGACAACCGCTTTCCCTTAAGAACAAAATCAACCGTAGTCAAAATCCAGACTTTTCTTTAAGAAAAATAAGAGTAACTAAACAAAAAAGGATTATATGCCATAATGATGGATAATATTTCACAGCAACCTGCAACACAGTTTCCAGTATGGGGAGCACAGTTTACCACACAGCAAACACACAGCAGGATCTTCCTTCACTACCCCACAGTCGGGGCAAGGTTTTTTAATATACCTGACACCGACACAAGTCCACATCAGAAATAAATATAAATAACAAAAAGAAAGGGGCAAGATACTACAACAGGATGCAATTAGTCAACCTCTGCAACAAATCCTGATATAGATGTGGCAAAATCATCAGCTTATACGGGACTGCAGGACCGAATCTCATAACACATTGAGATTTACGAGATTCAAGCACTTCAAACAAATGACCCAGCCAACCCCGAGCAGTCTGCCGTGATTCCTCATCACCAACAATGTGGTCAAGGAAAGGAATTTCAAACATACCCTCTAGCTTTTCAATCTCCAGAAGCTCATCCGCAATGTCAGTTGTATTCTCCCAGTCATTACCTGCATAGGGTGATGATCCACCCAGGTAGTCTAACCCGCCATCACTAAAAGGAATCATGTTTGAGCAGTTTATCAGCTTCCAGAGCAAAGCACATCTCCTCAAGTAAGGGAACGTTAAGCTGCGAACAGCATTTTTTATGTCATAGGCAGGATTAACAGAGTGGGACTGGAAACACTGCCCATACTCTCTACATTCACCCATTGCATGGCGTATGTCTGCAATTATATTGTTACATGGTCCCGGCTCAGATTCAGTGCTCTGTCCTTCTTTTTGAAATGCAATAATAGCCTATCAAAAAAGCTTAGCATAAGTCACGAGCTGAAGCAGGTAATTATATTTGAAGATCAAATGAAAGAAGCTCAAGCTACCTGAATCACTGCAACAAGATAAAAAACATGCACTAGGGATAAATAGGATTGCTTGCAGGATAGTACTGGGGATGGAAGACAGAAGAGCATCCACATGAATGACGAAAATGCATCATGAGCGAGAATAGGTTCGGATGCTTGTCTCCACAATTGGACATCTGGATACCGCACATCCGGTTCGGCATTTTCCAATATGTAAAGTATATTATCTGGAAATCATGATGGGGTTAAACTTGGTTTTAACAGATACAATATCAGGGTGAAAAACAAATTTGTGAAGCAGGCATCAAACAAAAGAAACTTGCACCATGTTAAGTAACTTCTACCACACATACAACAGTTCTCTTGCCCCGCAATCACATGCCTTCATATAAGAACCCTTTACTTGCTTTGATGTTCATATCATGATAATTAAAACATTCATTAAGCATGCAGGAAACGAAGGAGTGCGACACAGTTACATCAATCATGCTCATTGCTGAAAATCATGCAACTTTGACAGCAAGTAAATAGATTTTGGGACCATGCTTAAGATGAAGGTCCACAATTCTTAATGCAATGAAAAAAATGGTTAAAAAAATGCGTAAAAACATTTAGGGCGAAGAATTCTTACCTCCTTTCGGATAACTGACTGGTTCATCTGGATAAGAACCACGACATAAGGACCCGGCAAACAGCTGAAGACTCCATAATCTTAAAAACAAAGTCTGAGAATCTGATGACCGTATGCTTTGAATAGCATCTAAAAGCAAGGACAAGGTAAAACAGCTAGAACTTTTAAGCTCCTTAAATAAAGCACCAAGACTGTAATTTGGGCTCAATGAGCTCTTCTTCGACCGGGCTGCAATTTCAGATGAGATGAGGGAATACTTCAGCGTGTCCCACAGGATAACTGAACGGCTCATCCTGCCAGATTCTAGAACTTTGTCTTGGCCTGGATAATACATCCCACATAATAAACGAATGATAGGTTCTAGATTTGGCTTCATTATCACATTCCTAACTGGTAAAGCTTTCAGACTCTCGCTACTCCCAGCAATATTTGCGGCCCTCTGTAAAAGAGACAAACCATCTCGCATATGAAGGGTAGAGTCTCTATTTGATGAGGTCGAAGGGCCACAAGATTCTGCAAAATTGATGTTTGGGCAAATCTGTCGCTGAGACACCCTTGTCCCATCTCCAGGCAGAGCTGGCAGGACTGAATTAGCAAGTCCCCGACACACTGGACAAAGGAACTCACCCTGCCAAAATATGTAAGCATTATCAAAGCCTAATAATCTTAAGGGCTGATGAGTGGAAAAGAAATGAAAAGAGCTTTACCTGATCTGGATCCACAATGTGCCCTCCTTCAAACACAGTTCTTCTGCTATATCTGCCAGCATACAAATAAAACAAGAGAATCTTATTTATAGACGAGCCTGACAATTATGGTACAAATACGATGATGCCTATGCACAAATTAAAAAAGAAAAAAAAAAAAATAATCAGAATGTAGAAGGAATGTGCATATCAGCAATATGTATTGTTGACCCTACCCAACAAACGTAAACAAGAAATTTGACCATTATGAATGTCTTAAAAACATTTCGGTTAAGTAGATTAAAACACTCAACCTTTCCCTCAGTGATGATAAATAACGATCCAAACATCCTTGATGCACTGCATGCCCACAGGAAGAAACAAAAATTCCATCGGCACCAGAGGGGCCAAAGTCATCAGATCCTGGACGGATCATACTTGATTCTGATTTCATTTCTGAGAACCCATTCTGTGAAGCCGAGGGGCTATCCGCTGGCTCCTTAGGCAAGGAAGCAATGTACTTACCAAGCAAAAGAGATTCATCACAGCTGCTTCTTTCCTTGCTGCTCCCAGAAGTCGAACATTTTTCATTATTTCCCAAAGAGAAGCTGGTATGACTTTCCCTGATCATCAAATAAATGCTTTCCTCGAATGCCTCGAGGGAGTATGCTTTTTTGTCAGCTGCTTCTTTTGACGTGCAAGGAAGTTGGATATTATTAACCAAAGGGAATTTAGCATTAATAAATTCTACGAAACCATTCAATTCATGAGTCTGCCCTGTAGAAGCAAAATCATTTAGAGCACTCTGAACCACATCTTGCAACTGAGAAGATGAGATTGTTTCTGAACCATTTGAGGTACTGGTTGGAGATAAATCACTGGGTATGCTTGTATCACTAGAAGCATGCTCTTTACCAGATCGCCTGACTTCCCATGATGGTGGCCCATGGTTGACAAAACTCAAAAGCTTGGATTTCTTCAATCCAAAGTAAAACAAAATCAGAATGTGATCGGCTGATCGCAATAGTATATCACTGATATTTTGGTCTACTGGATGTTAAGCAACAACATGACATCGTTAGAGCCTCTGTATGAAATATATAATATGAGAAGGCTTCGGTTACCTGAAGAAGTACTAAATATGAAACAGGACTTTTAGACTTGGGATCGTGGCATAGGGAACATGTTACTTGGGCTGACTCTTGGGTGGCGTTACTGACATCAAAATCACATTCTTTGTCCTCAGATTTATCATTCTCCATCTCATCATCTAGGCTTGAATGAAATTCCTCCAAAAATTTGGACTGTTGGGCTCGCATCTTTTCCTGTGTGTTAAATTCAAAAACCATGAGCACTAGAATGTTTTGCAAATTTTGTTCTGAAACACCCAAAGCGAGAAAAATAGTTGCTATTCTAAATCCATGTCAGCTTAACCCTTCCACGGGTTAAGTAAAATGGCTACTTATTAGATAACCTAAATGTTATATTCAATAGATGCACACAGCATCGACATAGTAAAGCTAACACTTAAAACAAAGATTAATAATACAATGGCTTTTCTCTGGACTCTGCTTCTTTCCTTTTGGTCTAAGCATAGGACAAAAATCAAGAACAAATCAAAATCATGCGCAAGCAAATCCAACCTTTTCAGTATGCCAATTTTTTAATATTAACTAGCAAACTACTTTCAGTTGCATTAAAAATCCATTCGAACAAAGCAACTGAAACAAGCAAGAAGTATGCAAATTAATTGAACCTAGCTGTTCAGCATTTATGTAGTTAAAAAGTATCTTACCAAGATAGCAGCTTGTCTTTCTCGAGACTTCTCTTTGCGCTTTTCGCTGTCGGAAGTCAAATCCATGTCCTTTGCACTATCGCTTATAATTGAATATGAGAATTGATCAGCTAATTGGGGCGTCAGTTTCTGCAATCTGTTCATGCAATCCGGTTCAAGCTCCACCAAGGACTTGATCAAACTAGAAATTAAGGATGATAGATCAAAACTACCAGCCTCCGTTATGTTTCGAGCAGCTTCTTTCTCATGCATCCTCATCAACAAGACAAGTAGTGACAACAAGCTGTGTTCACCATACTTGATCGTGCATATTTCTTCACCAGCAAATGCCAATATTGGAAACACATTACCCGCATAGCATAATGGATCACCTGATTCCTTGCATAATTGACAAACATTGAGTGCCAGTGCCAACAAATGCAGAGCGGTCAGAAGAACACTATCTGGAGCGCGTGATGCGGCGGACTTGTCAGTGAAAACAGCATAAAAGAGAACTGCACGGACTATATGTAGAAGTGTTTTACAAGTAGCAATTCTGGCTATTCCCTTAAGTGGGTGGTAAATCTTTGTCCACCTAGGAATTTGAGTAGCCGATGCAGAAACATTACAAAACCGCAAGTATCTTTCTTCTGCTGCTTGCTGATCCCTCAAGTTCCAGCGGGGATGATATAAATCGAGTTCCCTCCAGTAAGACGACCGCAGCTTATACATACCCTGAGAACAACAGAAATTAGTGCTGCTAATGTTATACATAGTACTCAAGAAACGTGATATCCACTTGGCAAAACCCAACCTGTGTCATGCCAGATGGATGTGAATATTCAGCAACTCTATCCAATACTTCTTGAAGCTCATCAACTTTCGAAAGATCACGAGGTAGGGATTTCACAAGCTGACTACGAGTGGCATCTCCCATCGACAGCTTGTACACCAACTCTCTTTGCAAACATTCCACAGCTGTTAGCCCACAAAACCTTCGTTCTTTCACTATTTGTATTAGAAGAGCAAGCATTTCTGTAACTAGAACTGCTTCATGCCTGAAATAAGAACAAATGAATAAATAAAATGACATGTAAATATTCCACACGATTATCTGGTAAGGAGTAGCACTCACCAGCTCATACTCACAACTTGGGTTAAGATGCATAATAATGAAACTTCCATGCATGAAAATACTACAACGGCAAACACTATAAACTGAAAAACTAGGCCCTTCAGCCATTTCCTCATTAATTAGAGCCATAAAACAGATTGAGTGGACTACTTCTGTTGCTTTCAACATCATTCATCCTTTTCAAATGGGCTGTCCCAAGTATGACAAAACACAAAACAGAAACTATAAAGAAGGCATATGGAAATTGTTGTGTGGAAATTGAGCATAATGCAAATATATTTTGATAGTAAATTCCATACATAGCATATCAAAGAGCTTCCCTTAGACCATTTACACATCTGATCGTCAATCCATTTAATATGTGGCATAAATAGAAAAGGTGATTTATCATATTCGGCAAACATATCAAGCCAGAACAACCTAAAACCAAGAGGAATTCGAGCAAGAACTTACAATAAGCACAGTTTCATAGAATATTAGTTTGCTTAAAGCTTCTATGATAGTTTGCTTGAAGCAATTGCAACATAAACAAATTACAGCCCACCCGCATTCTTGCTGATTGCATTGAGAAAAACAGGAATGTGTAGCTGGGTATGAGTAATGGTTCTATAGATGAAACATCTTTCTTCAATACTCATTCAGTAACAAAGCTTTGACATCGGATCAAATCAAGTAACAGACCAATTAATAAATCTTCAGTTCATCTTATTCAAATAAGTTCCAAAAAGGAGAAGTGGATGAAAACTTTACATACTCACTAGACTGTTCAAGGTTCAGGGACAGATAGCTCGAAAGCCCAAAACGTTCCAGGATTCGTTGGACAAAAAGTTCTGGTGGAGCTAATGCAGCACAACACTGAAGCATGAAGAGATCAAGATCTTGACCTTGTTCGGACCTGCATCAAGTAGAGGGAGACTTCTAAGACTACAAATGAATACAAAGAAGAGGCCAACCAGATATAACAAGCAGCAGCAAGTTTCCTTGATGATAAAATGATATATGTATCAAGAGATATGCTCCCATCAAACAGTCTCCTAAAACTAATTTTTTAAAATAAAATAATTAAAATAAATAAGTAGAAACACTAAAGAAAATAAAATAACCATTCTTAAAACAATTGAAACCGCACGAAAAAAATAATAATAATAAAATAAAAAATACAAACCTCGAAAAAGAGGGGAAAAATAAATTGGTAAAACAGAAGGAACTGATATTTTATTAATTTTTAGACTCATCTTAAAGAAGGTCATCCATCAGGATATCTGACACATACCAGCGGACTGAGCGATACCACTCACTGAACAAGATTGGTGCATCCCCATTCCTGTTCCAGATCCCAGCCCGAACCTGAGCACAGAACACTCTTATTTGCAAAGGATGTTCCATCATGAAAGCAGAAAACCCATAAGGATGGCATCCATCCAACGCGAGACCAAGGAAATCACCGAATTTTAGGGATGGTCGATCACTCGAGCAAGCACTCGGACTATACAATGATCCGGATTCACCAAAACATTCCTCCAAAGCCCTTCTCAGAGTCATAGAAAGAAGTCGGTGCAATGGAATGTGCATGGATATTTCCTGTGAACTAACATCATATGCGATATCGGCCCAATCTGGTAAACTCAGAACCCGAAAGCCCTCCAGCTCGGACGTGCTCTCTCCTAGGAGACTCTCATCACTACCACCAAAAGACGCTTGACTTACAGATTGGCTGCCCTCAGGTCCAACACAAATACTCAATCCACCGTGTGGGGTATAGTTATGAGCTTCACTCAAAATGGTAGGAGGCTTACTATCCGATGAAATGGGTGATTTAAATAGTCTAGCTTTTCTGAACTTGGAGAGCGTTCTCTTCAGAGCCAGGAAATTATTGCCCGGGCCATCGCTTGTATTTTGAGAAAAGGAACTGAGAAGACCCAGAGTGTTGTCAAGTTCCATCCAATTCTCAATTGATCTCAAGCACTCGTGTATAAACCACAAAGCTAAGGACGGCACAGGAAAACTATCATCAGTTGCCTGGGACTTAAGATCCAATGTGCCCTTTCCAGTAATGCTGCTCACGGAGCTTTCTTGAGATAGCCTTCCAACTTTTGCGTGTCTTCGGTTGTCTTGCTCTTCAGAGTCGAGGTTATATGCCCTAACTGTTTCTACACTAGTGCCATCACCAGTAGCCACCGAAAATGCTGCAGCAACAAGGAGATTGAGAATGTTAAATATGGAGTGACACAAGACAAAAGGCAAGTGGACATTCTCATTTTCATCCTCTATGTGACTCCCTATTTCTCTCTTTAGTGAGTTCATCCCTTGCACAAAAGCCAAGAGTCTCAACCACGATCGAACTAGGTCTCGCCTACGGAGGCACAAGTATTTGGGAACAGCAGAATGGCTCAGCACAAATCTAATATCTTCAACCACACGAACTGTAGTTTCATACAAGTTTCCCCATTTAGTAACCTGCAAAAGGAAGCTCAACTCAGCCATTTTTTATCTGAAAGGAGATACCATAATGATGTACTTGGAACAAGCTGAGAAAAGGGGTGGGTAGAGAACTGTGAAAAATCCACAGAAAAATGTTCAGTCATACTACTACATATGTCATTAGGACTGATAGATTTCAAAAAAGGGGGGAAAAAAAGGAAAAAGGGAAAGAAAGAAAAATGGACCTCACAAAACTAGCTTACAACTCATTCGTTCAAATGAATTCGAACACCCCAATTTCCGTACAGTCACAGAAGTTCCTATAGCACTAGGCAAAGCCATAGTGGTGTAACTAACAGAATGAACATAAGTAATCACCATGACAATCATGAACTTCTATTAGCAATTACCAGTTCTTATAATTCTGCTCCAGCCAATCGTGATATGCATCTCATCACCAATATCATGATCAGTCAGTTATCCATTGTTAGATCTAAATAAGCCCGTACTAGGGGGTATGAACCCTTGGTCCACCATCACGATATTGAACTTTAGCAATAGTTCTTTATGCAGACATAAATTTGAAATGTATGTCTCTTATTTCATGCAGATCATAAAATTTACTTTCAGTATATTTGAAAACGTGAAACAATCAAGAGTGATTTTATTTTTTCGCATACTGGAGAGGTACAAGATTTTTAAACATTTATACCAAAGATCTATATATCTTCATAGTTCATCTGAAGATTCTGAACCAAGGTATCAGTACAACACAGGTCTGTGCGAGGTCAGATCATATCTCCATATTTAAAAGACATCACCTGCTCACTTGACCAATAACAAGTGAATTTATACCAGACAACAACAACATAGATTCTACATTTTGAAAAATATAGACCAGATTATTCAACATAGCCACAAATCAATTCAGATAAAAGACAATTGCAACAGGATTGCCACAGTTACTAAATCTTTTCAATACCTGCAGCTTTCCATCTTCTCCAGCACAGTAAACGAAAATTTTTTCCAAGCACTGAAACAGCACGCCCAGCAGATTCATTTCCTCCACAAGCTGTGGGGTTAGGGTAGGGACAGTAAGAATCTGTACAGAGAATGTCGGCAGCAACGGGTACCTTTTAAAAGCAGTGTCACTTCCCTCGTTTATTACCGCATCTACATTGGTTGGGTAATAGAGCACAAAAACTTTGGCAAATTCGTACTTGAATACTGGCTCACTCAACATTTTCAGAAGCAGCTCGTGGAGCTTCCCGACAACATCACTACTCATGTTGAATCTCTCTGCCCTCAAAAGGACATCTAACAGCCCTGCTGAGGAATACACTCTCTGTGAAATAAAACTGAGCAGACTCTCACTGTATCTACAAAAGTCCAATAGCATCTCCACCACAGCTGACGTCAACACCTCTGCAACCCTTTCGAGTTCCCCACCATGATTGACCACTCTAGGGCTTGCCTCAGAAGAAAACTTAGCGGCAACAAGCTTCCGTTTCCAATAACCGAGCAGTAAATCCAGAATAGGGCCCAAAGACTCCGCATAATGCTCGGGAAGCGGTTGAATCTGCTCCGCACCTTTGTGCTTCGCACAGAACCCTTCGCGTTTCCAAGCAGTAATATCCCCGCAATCACAGCACCCACCACCAGTGTATATAACCGAGTAGTCATGGTCCTTGTGGTCCCCATTCTCAAAACAGGGAACGCAAATTGCGCATGTAGGGTCATGCTCACATGTCCGGCAGCGGTACGCGATATCGTTGTTCCCCCAGACGGCCCCACACACCCCTCGTTCATCGGAGCTCGTTCTAGCAAGGTTCTCGAGCGCCTCTTGTGGGTCGCCTTCAAACATCAACCACTGCAACCAGGTCATGCTCTCCTGGAAAACGTCCTCATCCACCTCCTCCTCGTCGGAAAGCATGATTGCGTGGAACAGGTCTCTCTTGCTCAATCTGTTGGCCGTTGCATAAGCCACCAAACCAGACTGTCCCTGGTATAACTTGTCCCAGGGAATCCCCATCTGTAAAAGCCTCTGCAACATAAAATAAAATTAAAAA